ACCCACGACTGGCAGATGAACGTGCTACATTTCTCTCCGAAATGGTAAGAAATTATATTAGATTGAATGGGGGATTTTAACTATGACTAGATGATTGACAGGGCAGTTTACGGTGATAGGATGCACGGGACAGAGCCGTCCGTTAAAGATGGCGAAGTAGTTTGTCCCAAAGCTTGCCTACTCTTTTGCTACACACTCAAAAGTATGTACTTTTTCTTCACAAAAAGAGTACATACTTTTAGGGCGTAGTATAAGTAGGCGAATTGGGACGCAGCGTATGTTTCGGCAATGGCACAACGTTATGTGACTGTTCAAGTCTCTGTCTTTAGATCAGTGTGTTCAATAACGAGCTTTTTTGTCCTTTGTTGTGTATCTTTGGCGTATGTTGTGTTGTAAATAAATCCAAACAATCAAAAAGCCATTCTTTTTTAAATCTCTCCTCATTGTTTGTGCAAGGCTCCTCATAATGATAGGGCCTGATAGCACCTGATAGGGCCATTAGGGGAGGGTCTTTGTCTTTCTCAGGTGTGAAACACATCAATATTCATGATCATTCACGCCTCCTTGCACAAAGCTTTCTTACACAAAACATGTCTTACAAATTTTAAATCAATATATTGTTTTATCTGAATGAGTATGCAGGATGATTTTCGCATAGTTTTGGAGCAAATATTTTAGGCTATATGATACAATTTTCAAAGGTCTTGTGAAGGAAATAATCAGTATGGGTTTCATGACCTTATTTCAGTGACAATTCTTTTCATCCACAAACCACGCATAAACGTCATTACCTCAAAACTACAAACTTTTACGTACATCCTGCTGACATATTTTTGTGGCAGAGTTTGTGCTGAATGCAGTGTAATGAGACTTTAGCCATGAAAATGTCACAAGTAACAGAAATAAGCACAAATGTCTGAACACCTCCAGGGCCCAGAAAACACCTCAGACCCCAGAGGGTAATCAATCTATATCAATTGTTTGTGTGTGTGGATGGCAAGAGACAAAATGAGGATAGAAATAATGCAAAATATTTGTGTTTATTATAAAAGCAACATAAAAAGAAAGAATAGTAAGAGATGGGAAATAATGATGATAAGGGAAAAAATTACAAATAAAAAAGAAAATAAATAGAGTTGTGGTCAGAATTATTGGCACCCCTGATAAATATGATCAAAGATGGCTGTAAAAATAAATCTGCATTGTTAATCGTTTTGATGTTTGTTTTGGATGATTGTCCTGATGGAAGATCCAACCACGGTCCATTATAAGATTTCTAGCAGAGGCCGTCAGGTTTAGATTTTTTTTACCTTTTGGTATTTGCTAGAATCCTTGATACCATGTATCTGAACAAGATGTCCAGGACCTCCAGCAAAAGAATAGCCCACAACATTAAAGATCCAGCGGTATATTTAACCGTAGGCATGGGCTACTTTTTATCACTGTTTGCACCAAAGCCATCTGGTGGGTTTGCTGCCAAAAAAGCCTTTTTTTTATAGTTTCATCTGACCACAGAATCCGGTCCCTTTTGAAATTCAAGTCGTGTCTCACAACTGAATATGCGGGAGCTTGTTTTTTGATGAGCGAGGAGAATTTTTCTTGAAACCCTGCCAAACAACATGTGGTGATGTAGGGGCTGTTTGATCATTTTAAGGCTTTCTGACCCCAAGACTCTTGATTACAAGAGGTAGCTAATCTAGATTACAAGAAGTAATCTGTGATCCTTGGAGAGTCTTTGGCAACTCAAACTCTTGCATTAAGACGATATAGACACGTCCTCTTCCAGGCAGACCCCTAGCATCTTTAGGTGATTAGAACTGATATTTTGCCCTGATGGTGTAAATAGGGATTTTCAATGCTTGAGCTATTTTCTTACAGCCACTTACTATTTTGTGAAGCTCAACAACCTGTTTCTGCACATCAGAACTATATTCGTTGGTTTTACTCATTGTCATTAGCCTGACTTCGTCATACTCATATTCTAGTCAGAATGTGAGTCTGATACTGCTCCATAGGGCTTTGATTATGAGGCGTGTCTTAACCGAACCAGGAAAAAAAAAACTCTGCACTCAATTGGATAGACCTAGAACCAATGAGAGCAACGCAGTAAGTCAACTACTTTGCATAGCACAGTTGTCAACTACAGAACTCAAATGCACGCACGCTGGAAGAAGTAAAATAACGAGTGTTGCTTCTTTTACTTGGCCCTCTATGAGTGCGACCAAAGGAGAAACTACAACGACCACAGGGTTTTCATTGCGTCCCATCTTCTTAGTTACCATCGGAGCCAGCTGATAAATTAAACTTTTGCCGAATCCCGTAGGAAGGACGGCAAACACATCTTTCCGATCGACAAATGCCTTGATTGCAGTTCTATGTTCGTCTATTAAAATGAATGCGCTGTCGATTTCTTTTACGACAGACGCGATAGCGGAATCTCTACATCTCAGTTCTCCAGCTGCAGTCGTCTGTGAGGGAAACCAGTTCAACCCAAGCGCTCTTTGATAACGTGATGATTACGTAACTGCAGATCACCTGTGTCCATCATCGTATAAAGCCCGCCCTGGCAATTTGATTGGCCCGAACATTTTTTAACTGATCATAATTACTCCTCAATGGAGCGAGTCCAGACCGAACTTCCCGACCCAAAAATGTTGTGGGCGGGGTTCGGCTGGCATCCAGGCTACATTGTCATAGTCATAGCTAGAAAATGTCATGTTCCTAGTCACCCTGGCATGCTAAAAAATTTAAAGATGAATGGGAATATACTTCAGAGACATTCTACTTATAAAAAAATTCTAGGGCTACCAATAATTATGGCCAACGTGTTTTGAAGAAAAGCATTTATTTCATAATGTGCCCCCCCCCCCCCCCCCCTTACTTTCAATTATTTTACTCAATGTGTCAGGAAACTGTCATCTAACTCGTACCACACCGTTTGACGCAGACCTACGAGAGGGGCATCCCATCGTGGCTCTGAGACCTGTTTACTAATATACATCTATTATTCTAGTTATATGCATCATGTGGAAAAGCAGTGTATGAAAGTCATTTTACAGTATAATAGCAGCTACTAGTGAAACCTCATGTTTGTTAAATGAGGCTTGGCAAACCATTTAATGTTGCATTTCTGCCACCTACTGGATGGAGAGTGAAGCGAAGATCATCAATCATCATCAAATCAATCATTCATTTATAAAGCACTGTATATAAAAACTGCACCAAACTGCTGTTAATGCCCCAACAATAAAGGATAAAACAACCAAGATATAATAAGGATTCCACAATACAAAAGGACATGGGTACAAATATTTAGTATGTGTTCTTTAATGACAGATTTGTCATTTCTTATATATATATAGAGAAATATATATTAAGAAATAAATGTATTAAGTACAGAAAAAATGTGGGATTAGATTATATATTATATTATATATATATAATCTAATCCCACATTTTTTCTGTACTTAATACATTTATTTCTTAATTATAGCCATTCAACGTTACACAATAATTAAAAGCCATATTTTTTTACATTTAAAGGTCTTTAAAAACACAACTTTTAATTATAGTAAACTTAAAACAATCTTAAAACCATTATATCTAGTTTATAATTGACATTTAGCTTTTAGTATCTTTCGTGTTAAACTGTGGGGTTTTGTTGTATTAAGCAATGACAGTAAAGAATCTGTTCTAGCTGTGCCTTTAATATAACACACAGGTTCAGATTTTTACTTGCCCTGCCAAATCTTTCTGAATATGAGAATGCAATAAAATATTTGCCAACTGTTCATGATACAAAATGTTAAACGACAGACATTATTTATCCAGGGATGCAAAATACTACTGACCTTGAATTTCTCAGATTTTAAAGGGGTGATGAACTGAGAAATCAAATTTTCCTTGAGCTTTTGACCTCTAAGAGGTCATCATATTATAAGAATATCCTGTAAGTTTCAGAACTGAAAACGTCCTTGTTAGTCCAATAAAAGCTTTTATTGACACCAGGCTCAGCAAACGACTCGTTTTTCAAAGCGGGGAACTATGACGACACAGAGGATAAAACACACCCCCGCAGAAGAAGATCAACGCCTACTTCAACACGGCCGGTTTAGCCCCGCCCACCGATTCGCGCATTACACGAAACTCATTATAATATGCAAAACTGTTATCCACTCACAGCAGTGTTTACTTCCAAGTCTTCAATGCGAGACGCCCATAAAAACCGAGCGTTTTTGAGCTAGGCTCAAAACTAGGGTAGAAAATAGCCTATTACTTATTCATTTTTATGTTTTTGAATGTAAAAACCAAGCGAACGTCATAAGTTGACCTCAGACAACAATATAAAAAAAATTAAAAAGCCAGTTCATGACCCCTTTAATGTCATTTGCATTTTTTGTCACAATGTAGTTCCTGATTGTGTGTGTTGAGCATTAGCATAGCAGTTTTCAGCATATCAGACATAAGATAAGAGTGAATGCTTGTATATTGTGCTTTCCTTCAGTAATTTCACTTGTCTACATTGTGGGCTGATTTTATGGTAGGCTATATCTCAAATTTACTGATATTAAACTCCCATATGGAAAAGAGCAGAGTAAACATTCAATACAATTTTATTTGCTTTGAACCATGAAAAGCCAAATTATTACATTAACAAGAATGAACATAAATACTTGCAGTCACTTTCACCTTCATTGTGAGCTCATTCAAGCTTTAGACCCTTCCAGCCGATCTAGTCTTTACGGGACGTCCTGATTCATTCTCCCTCGGGTACCTGTACATCATGTGTTTATCTCTGAAATCATGCATCTGTGCTACAAACTCAAAGATCTTAAAGAACACTCAGTTTCGTACGCCAGAATAAATGTTAAGCATGCGACAAAATAGATCAGATTCACACAAGATGACAGTCAGAGAAAAGACATCAATGACAAATGAAATTTCTTCCAAAGCTTTATTTTCTCAGAAAGAAATGAATATGAATCACAGACTTACAGAAATCCAGCAAAGAAGAAAATCACTGACATTCAAAATGTATGTAAATATAGACTAGGGCTGAGTATCGAAATAAATTTCACAATTTGATTTAATTCCAATCTCTATGTCGATTAATTAAAAAATATCAGGTTTGGTACATTTTTATCAAAGGAAAACAAATCTCTTCTTCGCTACAAATAATTTTTTGTGAAGTTTTGTTCACGCATCAACTGAAAAGATCGGGATTTATGAATCGATATTGGTTCATCAAAATGAGGATTGATTAAAATCAAGAAATTCATATTTTCAACCCAGCCCTATACAGACAGTTATTTGGGTAATTATAAACCCCAAATTAACGGGTACATGGAAGGGAAGTACAGCAGCCTCAAAAGGTATTAAGACACTTGAAAATATCTGTATTTCATTGCACTAGATGAAATTCAATATCAAACCAAGTGTCATCTGTGCTCAAATGATGCTAGAGCTTTTCTCTTGTAATTGTTTATTATTTTTTAAGTGTCCAAATACTTTTTGATGCCACTGTAAACATTTGTAGATCACAATTTTATTTAAGATAACATATTTTAACCTTCACCAGTTCATTTAAATGCTTGTGCTTTAAAAGTACAGATATTCCATAATATATTTTAATCAATATGAGATCATTACATTTATCTATTGACATTTATTAATATAGCAGATTATTTTATCCAAAGCAACTAACAAATAAGGGAAAAATCACATGCAATTTTATGGTAATTACTAGATAATATGCACTAAACTAAAAACACCAATAGAGCAAAATGAAAGAAAACACAGTAAATGTTTGAATCCATCACCACATGAATTGATCTCAGAAAAGTGAAGGTTATATGGACTTTAAATGGAGATAATGTGACGGCAAAGGGCTTGATTGAATCTTCATAAACCGTCACTCGACTCTCTCTCTCACTTGGTGCAGATGAAGTTGTGTGTCTCAGTTTCAGGAAGGCTGATCCAGAGCTGGTTGCTGGTCTGAATGGCTCCGGATCTCACTGTCGTAATGCAGTTCTCCTCCCCGGTGCCGTGACCCGGATGCCAGTGCTCATAGCACAGGGTCTGACCGTTGACCCAGAACCAGAGGCCGAGCACGCAGGAGTGACGGAGACCCAGCCACACGTGAGCAGTGGAGGCCATCGAGGACACGTTCTCCACCCGAAGCTGGATCTCCGGCGAGTCCACCGACACCAGGTCCATGTCTTCATCTCTGCAGTATTTCAGAGCTCCTGTCCACGTCAGATTCTGTCTGATCAGAACCAGTTTATCTGGAGCACAAACAGAAACAACAACGGTCACATTTTAGTTTAGGGTCCAAATCTCAATATTAACTGTTCATTACGACTTTTGCTTCAATAAACTCCTAATTACTGCTTATTAATAGTTAGTAAGGTTGTTGTTAAGTTTAGGAATTGGGTGGATCAAGGGATGCAGAATATGATCATGCAGAATAATGCATTAATATGTGCTGATAAACAGCCAATATCCTAGTAATTATGCATGTTAATAAGCAGCTAGTTAATAGTGAGAACTGGACCCTAAACAAAAGTGTTACCACAAAAACATTAAACATTTTGGTAACACTTTATTTTGATGGTCCCTTTTGAACATTCTGTTGACTATAAGTAACTTTGCAACTACATGTCAACTAACTCTCATTAGAGTATTAGTAGACTGTCTGCTTAATATCTGCCAACTCTTTATTGTAATGCTCCTCAAACAGACATTCTACTGACTATAAGTAACTTTGCAACTACATGTCAACTTTTTTTTATCCCTAACCCTTCCAGTCTACTAATACTCCACTAACACTCTAGTGAGAGTTAGTCAAGTCAAGTCATCCTCATCCTAGATTCATCCTCAATCACCTCAATCACCCCATCAAGGTCGGTCAGAAATCTTGGAGTAATCTTTGATGATCAGCTGACCTTCACAGACCACATTACAAAGACAGCTCGATCATGCAGGTTTGCTATGCACAACATCAGGAAGATCAGGCCTTTCCTAACTGAGCATGCAACACAACTTCTCGTCCAGGCCCTGGTCATTTCTAGGCTTGATTACTGCAATGCTCTTCTGGCTGGACTTCCATCATGTGCAACTAAACCTCTACAAATGATCCAGAATGCTGCAGCTCGTCTTGTCTTCAACGAGCCCAAAAGGGCCCACGTCACTCCTCTGCTCATCTCTCTGCACTGGCTACCACTCGCTGCTCGCATCAAGTTCAAGGCTTTGACGCTTGCTTACAGATTGACCATAGGTTCAGTTCCCTCCTACTTCCACTCACTACTACAAGTCTACATCCCTACCAGAAGCCTACGATCGGTCAATGAGCGACGGCTCGTGGTACCATCACAGCGGGGCACAAAATCACTCTCCAGAACATTCTCATTCACGGTTCCATGCTGGTGGAATGATCTCCCCACCCTCATCCGGAATGCAGAATCCCTGACAACATTCAAAAGACAACTGAAAACTCATCTCTTCCGGGAGCACTTAACATAAAAAAATAAAATAAAAATAAAAAATAAAATCCTTTCCTCTAAATCCTCGCTTGCCTGGCTTATGCTACTCGGAGCTATGTCTGAACTTTGTATTTTGAGCACTTCTTGCGTTGCTTTTGCCTCTTCACGATGACTCGCTTGGTTTAGTCCTCAGTTGTAAGTCGCTTTGGATAAAAGCGTCTGCTAAATGACTAAATGTAAATGTAAATCTTCATTTATATAGCGCTTTTAACAATGGAGATTGTTTCAAAGCAGCTTTACAGAGATAAACATACAATTTACGGTAACAGAGATTGTTTTGGCTTTATAGCGATTTTGAATAATGTTATTTCCGGCTAAAGTTGGTTTTGATTGATTCACTTCCAGCAAAATTATCATTTGTTATTACATTAGGGGCCACTAAGACGACGGCGTTCTCTCTAAACAGACTTTAAACGTGAACCTGTGACCTGATGGCGTTCACATGCACATTAAGAATTGATTCTATAGTTATATTCGTTTGAATATGTGTGCGCAGGTTTGTAATTTCCCTACAAACCATGCCTAATTAAACTACTTGTCTTGCCTATAAATTTGATACAGAATTTTATTTGATCACTTCGAGGTACGCGAACCGGATTTCAACAACGCTTTATCTGTAGAGTGGGAAAGGGATCCTCCATAGGGAGAGGATAGTGGACACTTCAGCACTGCATTGTCATCGGGTCCAGGCGAATCTCCTTCGTCAGATCTGGATTCGGCCTGGATCCGGCAGGCTGCAGGAAAACCTCGGGATAAACAAAGACACTAATATTAGCGTAGATGCCATTCTTCTTATGATGTAGCGAGTACATCAAGATTTAAGGGAAGTGTTCCCAGTTCCAGCTGACCTAATCTATGCAGCCTAACATTGAATTATCGAAGTCTATAATGTATTATGTGTATGCTAGGTCAAAGAGATGTGTTTTTAGTCTAGCTTTGAACTGACAGAGTGTGTCTGCTTCCCGGACAATGGTAGGAAGACTATTCCAAAGTTTTGGTGCTAAATAGGAAAAGGATCTCCCGCCTGCAGTCGATTTAGATATTCTAGGTATTATCAACTGGCCGGAGTTTAGAGATCGCAATAGACGTGAAGGACTATAATGCGTTAAGAGCTCGCTCAAGTACTGGGAGCTAAACCATTTAGTGCTTTGTAAGTAATCAACAATATTTTAAAATGTATACGATGTTTAATAGGGAGCCAATGCAGTGTTGATAGAACCGGGCTAATATGGTCATATTTCCTGGTTCTGGTAAGAACTCGAGCTGCGGCATTTTGAACTAGCTGTAGTTTATTTATTAAGCGTGCAGGGCAACCACCCAGTAGAGCATTACAATAATCTAGCCTTGAGGTCATGAACGCATGAACTAATTGTTCTGCATTTGTTAATGAGAGCATATGGCGTAATTTAGATATGTTTTTAAAAATGGAAAAATGGAGTTTTACAGATACTAGACAAGTGGCTTTCAAATGAGAGATTGGTATCAAAGAGCACACACACACACACACACACTCACACACACACACACACACACACACACACACACACACACACACACACACACTCTCACACACACACACACACACTCACACACACACACACACTCACACACACACACACACACACACACACACACACACACACACACACACACACACACACACACACACACACACACACACCAGGTTCCTAACCGACGACGAAGACTTGACAGAGCAGCCATTAAGTGTTAGACAGTATTCTAGGTTATTACGTGTGGATGTTTTTTGTCCAATAATTAGAATCTCTGTTTTTTCAGAATTTAGTAGTAGGAAATTACTAGTCATCCAGTTTTTTATATCGGCTATGCATTCCGTTAATTTTGTGAATTGGTAAGTTTCGTCGAGGCGTGAAGAAATATACAGCTGAGTAATATGTATGTTAATAAGCAGCTAGTTAAAGGAGAACTCTGGCGCAAAATGAACCTTTGGTCTAATTACACATTGTTACCTAGTCAACCGTTATCTGAGATTTGTTTTCATGATTATCGAATGTAAATAGTTTTATCTCTAAAACAGTTTAGCCTATAATGCTAGTATAACGCTAGTATATTGGGCATAGAGTAATGACAAATAAAAATCGCTTGTTAATACCACTAACAAGGCTCAAAATAGCCCCACACTAGCACGGTAGCATAATGAGGGTCCCTACCTTCAAACCGAAGCATTGAGAACTTTGTCAGTGTCCAGACAGTTTAATAAGAAGATATTTTAAACATACAGTCAACTTCGCGTATACAGGCAGAAGCCATCTTTGAAATACAGCCTTTACCAGTCGATCTACGAACGCCGATCCAAGCCTGCTGTTCGCGCTCACCTTATCACAACTTATAGCTCGTTCACATCTCACCAGCGCACTTGGATCGGCGTTCGTAGATCGACTGGTAAAGGCTGTATTTCAAAGATGGCTTCTGCCTGTATACGCGAAGTTGACTGTATGTTTAAAATATCTTCTTATTAAACTGTCTGGACACTGACAAAGTTCTCAAACGCGACTCTGGATGACTTGGAGTTAAGAGAACGTCACAAGAAGATGTGTTCCGAGTTTTGACGACCGGATACGGCAAAAGTTTAATATACCAACTAGCTGGTTCACTGGTGGAAAAACGCACAGGACTGACTCAGCCACAGCCGTTCCTTGCTCTGGTTGGTTGTAGCGCTGTCCTATTGCGTGCCGAGGGATATTGAAAGACAACCGTTTATCCGCCCCTCGGATTGAGGTATGCCAATTGTGGGTTCCCAGACCTAACATCTTGATGTAGGTCTGGCTTGCCAGGCTACCGGAGTTCTCCTTTAATAGTGAGAACTGGACCCTAAACTAAAGTGTTACTACAAAAACATTAAACATTTTTAGTTAAACGATTCTTCTCCCAAAAAATGTAATTCTGTCATCATTTACTCGCACTCGTGTCGTCCAAACCCCTGCATATTAAGATATTTTAGTCATAAAACTTATCATATAAATCGAGCGGTTTAATCCAGATTCAGTTTAGGCTTTTATTTAAATCTTAAAAATGATTGTCCCAAATAGAGCAGATCACATTAAGGAAACAGTAACGCTTGTGTGCGTCACACGCTAGAACAAACCGGATTCTTTTGCTTCATGTTCATGCCAACTCGTGTCCCGCCGGGTCGATCAGCGCGGTGTTCTAGTGTAGCATCTACAGCTCACACAGTTCTGACTGGATCTCTGCCCAAAACAGCCCTACCTAACATTGGCATCTAGTTTTTATTCGTTAATGAAAATGTCAATAGATTGTCGTCATAGTTTTTGTTATTCATCATTCAAAACGTTTTTTTAGTTATCGTCTAATTTCCGTCTGAATTTTTTTTTTACACAAATTAACTCTGGTTAGTGTTGGTTAAAGTTGTAGTGCACTCATTCTGTGATTTAGAGTTTGTGTTGTTTCACATGTAGAGTTGCATTTGTTTAGATGATTGTGTGTGTGTGTGTGTGTGTGTGTGTGTGTGTGTGGGTAGGTTTAGGACTCGGGTTAGTGTGTGTATGATGGGTAGGTTCAGGGGTTGGGTCAGTGTGTGTGTGTGTGTGTGTGTGTGAGCGTCTACTTACTGTCATAACACACAAAGGGATAACGACCTGTACAAGGATCATCTACCCATCGTCCTCCGTGGTTTTTGATATCAATGGAGGTGCAGACATCCTGTCTTTCGGATCCGCTGTTGGGTTCACCAGTGTGCCAGTGTGTGAATGTGGAGCTGCTGTTATCTGACCAAACCCAGAGTCTCTTCAGACCGATCCAGGCTTCATCAGATGAAATTTGGTTGTTTTGTATGAACTTCTTAGTCTCATTATTCTCACTCTGGTTCCTCACACTGACCAGATCTGTGTGATTCTGTCTACAATAACTCTGAGCTTCAGTCCAATTCTTTGTCACATTTACAGGGACCCATGTTTTACTGCTGGCTTTAAAAGAGAAAGACATTTGTCTAATGAAGTGAAATATCACAGAAATTAAATGCATAAAAAATAATATAATATAAGGACAAAGAAACAAGAACATAAGGACAAAAGGACAAATCCACTAAATGCAATAATAGTTTATCATTCAAAACTAAAAATGTTTTATTATTATTGTACATGAAAATACTCAATATGGTCTTTAATAAAGCACATATCTGTGTGTTGTGATCTTACAGCTGAACTCACCATTATAGCAGATGAATGGCCTTGTGAAACTACAGGGTGCATCATGCCATTGTCCATCAGCCTTCTTCATAAAAACACAGTGTCCATCTCCTTCTGGTTGTGCTGGTGCCCAGTTCCTGTACTGGGACTCGTTTGCTGTGTAGAACGTGGAGTCATTCAGAGACCATATCCATGTGTTTGTGCTCTTCAGCCCGATCCAGACATGATCAGCATTAGGGTTCACACTCTTTATGACCCGCTCTGCGTCGGTCTGATGTTGTGTGTCGGTGATTGTGGCCAGATCTGTGTATTTCTCTCTGCAGTGTTTCTGAGCTTCAGTCCAACTCTTTCTCTCATTCACAAAGTGATACTGACGCAAAGCTCCTGCAGACAAACTGACCACGGCTGAGAAGAGACACATTCAGATCTCAAACGATGATCTCACTGATCGATGACACACATTATCTTTATCATTACGGGGCAATATTTGCCACCTATAGTTGATTACTGGGACACTTTTTACCTTTACAATTTTTAATGAAGAAATATTAAATGAAATTATATTTTTAAATATGAAACCGGCAGTGTTAATGAGTGAGTGAGTGAGTCATTCAACCGATGTGTTCAAACGGCTGATTCATTCAGGAGCAAAGCTAGCGAATAATGGGTAATTTGGATTTTTTGAAAAAAACTATTTTTGGCGAACTAGTCTTAGATTTTCACTAATGATTGTCCTGTAATTATCAATAATTATAAAAAAAGTTGAAATTTTGATTCACCGAAGTGGGAGGAGCCGCTTTTTATAAAATGGCTATAACTCGTGAATGGAATGAGATATTTTCACATTTGTAAGACAGCGACTGGCCACCTGGTGGCGCTATAACATGAAAAAAACATAAATATGGTTATAACTACGCTACCCTAAGTCTGATTGACTTGAACATTGGCATGCGGTGTCTTCGTCCAAGGAGCCAAGACTGACTTTGAGGACATTCGCATATCTCGAAAAACCTGGCCGGCGACGGCCAATGAAGTTTGAGCAGCTAACAGACAAGGTTTATGGTTAATTTTTCACACACGACATTTATGACGGATGATAGATCTCCTCATTCTGAGCAACTTTGCCTCTAGGACCGCAGCTGTCAATCAAATCGTTCGTTAAATATTGGGGATTATTTAAAAAAACAACTTTGGCGAACTAGTCCTAGGTTTTTGGCTCAACCGCGATAAAACCCCTGCGGCACAATTCTCAGGACTCAATGTCAATAATTATCCAAAAAAAAAAGCTGATCTTTGGCCTTTGGATGGCTATAGCTGGGTCATTTAGAAAAGGGGCGTGGCCAAGTCCAACTTCCTATCATTTGGTGAGCACACGCGGCACATGATTCATAAGAAGCATGCTAACTTTTATGGACATCGGGCCATAGCGGGCGCTTTAAAGGGGAAATGAAGCAGTCAATCAAGTTTACATGATTTACAAGATGGATTTCCACTATAATCAACAATTATATAAGAAACATGACAAATGTAAACATAAAAAAGAAAAACCGTTATATCTTTCGCGTGAAAGTGTCCGTCACACTTTCACGCTTGCTCTGTTGCCTGAAGGCATGAAATCCAGGAGATGCATTCTGGGAGTTGTGGTTTTTGATTAGGATTGTATTCATGAGCTTCGATCGAGTCACTCGCCTAAATATTTCACAGTCTTCCTCAGTCATTTTCAGTCGCAAATGTTCTGTGTGCAAAATGAGTGTTTGAGTAAAGCTGTGCGTCTGATCTCCTCAATAGCACAATAACACACTTTCACACTCAGCTTGAACACTTTCAGCACAGCACTAACACTACGAGCACTAGAACTGAAGCACTGCATTAAACACTCACTCACCTGTGAGCAGAAGAGACGTCAGTGTGATTCTCTCCATTCCTGAGGGAAAGACAGAACACAGGCTCAACAAACAAGCTTCATTTGCTTTGAAATACTGCAGCTGAAGTTCGTACAGAATCCAGAACTTCAGAGCATGTCATTCCTACTTTATCATTGCTTATTAGCTTCCGCATCAATTATAAACACACAGACAAAGCTCCTAAAGCTGAAGCGTGTCAGTGCAGTGTTAAAATACTGTTTTATGCTGCACGTTTCCACTTTAAACCCTTCAGGATAAAACTCTGTCTCATAGAAATTGAGATCTGGAATTACAGTGCTGTTCTACAGTGTATTACTGTAAACGCAATTTTTATTTTAATATTTACTTTTATATTTTGCTCTTGTACACTTGTTTGTTTTGTGTTTTTTTTCAGTGATCCTACAGAAGAACCATTTTTAGTTCTTAAAAGAACCATGTTTTCTTAGTGTGTAAAACATTTAAAAATCTAAAGAACTTTTTTCCACTATAAAGAACCTTTTGTGCAATGTAAAAGATTATGTGGATGTTAAAGGTTCTTAATGGAAATGTCAATGAAGAACCTTTAGTTTTTACTAAATAATACAACCGAGCATAATTTAATACAAAACACAGTTAAATCAATCCTATTGTAATCAGTGTAAAGTTAAAACTGTCTTAAACTCTTTTTCTTACCTGTGGATGTTGGGATTTCTGTGCGATTGTGTGTGTGTGTGTGTGTGTGTGTGTGTGTGTGTGTTTCCCTGTCAGGACAGACTGATATCTCTCCTTCTGCTCCTCCCAGCTCTAGTTTTCCTGGAGAGAAAACTCCCGTCTGTGGTTTATTTGTTTCCTCTCTTGCCCTAAGGCGATTTACTGACCGAAAGTGTGTGATGTCCATTTACTGTTGTGTCTGTGTGTGTGTGTGTGTGTGTGTGTGTGTGTGTGTGTGTGTGTGTGTGTGTGAGAGAGAGTGTGTCTGTGTGTGTGTGTGTGTGTGTGTGTGAGAGAGTGTGTCTGTGTGTGTGTGTGTGTGAGAGAGAGTGTGTCTGTGTGTGTGTGTGTGTGTGTGTGTGTTTGTGTGTTTGTGTGTGTGTGTGTGTGAGAAAGAGAGTGTGTCTGTGTGTGTGTCTGTGTATCTGTGTGTGTGTGTGTGTGTGTGTGCTTGAGAGTGTATGTGTGTGTGTATGTGTGTGTGTGCGTGAGAGTGTGTGTGTGTGTGTGTGTATACTATAGGCAAAAACATTGTTTTTTTCATGCACTGGTTAATTTTGGGATATTTGGGTTTTCATATATTTCATATGTATCAGGTATTCATTCAGACTAGTGAGGAAAAACATCTAAAGTACACATTTAAGAGTTTATTTTATTGTGCTTTTTTGCGTATGTATGTTTCAATTTGAGTTTTTCTCCACTTCAGCAGCTTTACAGACACCAAACTTTACAGTTTTATTCACAAGTATATTTTGAAGGTTTGTTCATATATTTAATTGATCTGGTTTATATAATATTTTTTTTCCTAAAAACATGGTGATTTACTTTTTTTTTTCTGTTTACAGGGTTTTTTGACAGTGATTTATGGAGCAATAAAAAGAGAGATCCAAAATCACCTCTGGAAAAACCCTGGAAAAATCTTTCATATTTAAAGAGATTTCAATATCAACTCAATTTCTCATCAGATTGACTCTCAGAAGAAACATGAAGTTCTTCTATTAGACATGAAGAAGAATCTGCTGAGGTATGAAAGAGCACAAGTATATTTTCAGTCAAGTCACCTTTATTTATAAAATGCTTTAAACAATACACATACAATATGTGTCAAAGTAGCGTGACAGTCATAACAGGAAAATGATGCACTGATGCAAACAGAGTTAATTTCAGCTCTAAAAGAAAACATTGAGTCATTGAGTCAGTGTCACATTTGAATTTGGATTCCCTTTTCATTTGTATATGTTCTTTATTTGTTTGATGCAGATAATAATCATTAGTGTCCCATTGTCCCTCAGTGATGAACATTCACATGTGCTTCAGATTAAATCTTCAGGACAGAATTTGAATGTGTGCCGTTGATCCTCAAGATGGTAATGATGTGGAAAAAAACACGATCTATCCAGGAAACCAGGAGCGGTCATGTTAACGTGAGTGTTGTGTCTCTTTATTACTGACTAATGATGAATTGAGTTCAATTCAGCTATAAAGCAGAAATGCAATATCTGTTATGGAGACTCAGATAGGATGATAGAATTGAACCCAAAACAGTTTATTGAACAGCACTGATGTTGATGGAACGGCAGCACTGAGGGGAACAGGTACAGTAAATGTGCAGGGAAGTGGTGAGCATGAAATGGTGGCGTTTGAGTCTTAAACTGAAGAGTAATAGTGCAAACTGAAAGTCTTTGGGTTGATGATGGAGAATATTGGAGACTGGAGAACGAAGGGTATAATAAACAACTGCTTTATTTGCATCACTGTTGCTATGATGTCACAATAAAATTCAGTTGTAGTGAAGTGTGTCTTTGTGTAGCCTTTTAAACATGCAAATATGAGACGGCAGCACATCATTTATAGATTATATTACAGTGATCTACATGAAAAATCTTTCCAGTATTATGATGTTAAAAAGTACCGTAAATATGCATTTACTTGAGACGCAAAATGATTTAAGATGTTAAGTCTTTTTGATCAAAAATATATTTGTTTATATATAAATATATATGTAAATATATATGCCGCATTGGCATATATTTGTTCATGGTTTAAGCATAAACTCGCTTAATTTTGATAAATCTTTTTCATTAAAAAGAATTGACATTTACATTACATTTTTACATTTAATAATTTAGCAGACGCTTTTATCCAAAGCGACTTACACATGAGGAGAGCAATAGCATTAGCAGCAATCAAACTATCCATAGGACAACAATATGCAAGTGCCGTGACCAGTCCCAGTTAGTCCAGCCCAGTACCCGTGGACATTCCTCCAGAAGGGAACAGTCCAGGTGAAGGTCTGTGAAGGTGATTCTGTGTCACTTAGGGATGATGCACCACAATACGCTGTTCACCTGCAGAACACAAGCTTCTGGAGACACATCGGTCTGGAGTAGTGAGTTTAGGTACAGTGCAGAGCAAATTTGATGCGAGCGGCTGTTGGAAACCAGTGCAAGTTTATGAGGAGAGGAGTGACGTGTGTCTCTTCGGCTCGATAAACACACTCTTGCTGCAGCATCTGGATCAGTTGCAGAGGTTTGACAGTGATGCTGGAAGGAGAGAGCATTACAATAGTCCAGTCTGGATAGAACAAGAGCTTGGAGAAGGAGATGTGTAGCTCCGATAAGAAGGTCCTGATCCTCCTAATGTTGAATAAGACAAATCTGCAGGACCGGGCAGTTCTAGCAATGTGTTCTGTGAAGTTCAACTGATCATCAATCTCAACACCAAAGGTTCTGGATGGAGTTATTGATGGATGAACCTAGCTGAATGAAGAAGTTGTGATGAAGTGATTGGTTGGCCGAAAACAGAAGCAGTTCTGTCTTTGGGAGGTTTAGTTGAGAGTGGTGGTCCTTCATCCAGTAAGAAATGTTTCAGGCAGGCTGAGATGCGAGCATCTACCGTCGGATCATCCAGCTGGAATGAGAGGTTGTGTGTCATCAGCATAGCAGTGATAGGAAAACCCATGTTTCTGAATGACAGATCCTACTGATGACATGTAGATGGAGAAGAGAAGTGGTCCCAGCACTGAGCCCTGAGGCACTCCAGTAGCTAGATGTTGGGTCTTAGACACCTCACCCCTCCTCGACACCCTGAAGGACCTACTGAGAGGGAAGACTTGAACCATTGGAGTGCGGATCCTGAGATGCCCTCCGTCATGAGGATTGACAGGAGGATCTGGTGGTTAATTGTGTCAAAGAACTGAGGATTTGGAATCTGCTTTTGCCAGTCTCAGAGCTTCAATAACCCAGAGCAGGGCCGTCTCAGTTGAGTGACACTTTTGAAACCAGACTGGTTGTTGTCCAAGAGGTTGTTCTGTGTAAGAAATTTAGAGAATTTGATTAAAAACGAATCGCTCAATTGTCTTATGTAAGATGGGATACCGGTCCGTAGTTCGTAGTGCTGGATTTAGAGTGGGTTTCTTAAGCAGTGGGGTTATCAGAGCCTCTGAAATGCTGTGGGAAAGATACCAGTGTAAAGAGAGGTGTTGATTATATGAGTGAGTGTGGGAACAACTGAAGAAGAAATGCCCTGAAGGCGAGTTGGGATAGGATCAAGCGGACAGGTAGTAGGGTGATTGAAAAAGGATGAGTTTGGAGACTTCTGACTGGAGAGAAGGAGGAGAGAATGTGAGTGTTTGCTGTTAAGATGTGCTGTTCGATTTGTTGTGTAGGAAATTGGCTGCTTATGGTTGTTGTTTTGTTTATAAATAATGTGGCAAAGTCATCAGCAGTTTGGTTTTATGACAGAGGGAAGGGGAGGACTAAGAAGAGAGGAGAAGGTTTTGAAAAGTGCGCGAGAGTCAGATGAATTGTTTATTTTGTTGTGGTTTTAAGGTTTTTTTAGCAGTAGAGACATTAGTAGAGTGTAACGCTTAAGTTCAATAAAGATGAAGATGAGGAATATAGCACAAGGTTTATTAGAATAATCCAAACAGCCAACTTTCGAAACAGCGTGCAGACACCAATAAACCAAGTTAAGGAACAACTTAAGAAGGACAATTAATCACATACAGCTGACACATATGAGGGCTTGTGATAGCAGGATGACCAGGTAAAGGGATGGTGATGGTGGAACGACGAGACCCGGGTGGTATTGCTGGAGGCAGTCCAATGACTCAGACCCAGAGCCTTCAGCCCACGGCGGAGTAGAGGGAGTGAAACCGACCTCCCGCCGCAGCAAAAGGAAGACAGAGGGAAGTATGGCGGGTTTTGGAGGAGGACAAGGATGTTGCAAATGGCTGGTGATGGCAGGACCACCAGGTAAAGGAATGATGATAGTGTTGTAGCGTTGCCACATAAGGGAAAGCGTATTTATATTAATTGACCGAGAATAAGTTTGTTGTTGTCAATTATTGTATTGCTTTGCCCGGTATTTTGTATTTGCCCTTACTGTTGTGAATTTGACCCCAATATATGACCTCGCGATCACTTATCGGAACTTCTCGTCACGTGATGACACGTCATGGAACAGGAAAAGACTATGTGTTTTTCCATATAAGGAACCGGTATTCTGGTCTTCGGGAGAGCTTACTCTCACTCACAAACTTTGCAGAGTCGTTGTGGATTACCTTTTTTGCTGGCTGTTTTTGGAGCGCTGAGCTGCAGATCCTTGGAGGAGTATAGCGTTTGTTTGGATTACTCATCTCGTTGGACTTATAACAGTCACATCACAACATTGATCCTGCTCCCTGATGGGGCAAACTTGCCGGTGAGGCGGATCTGACTCTGTGTTATTGCACGCTGGACTTAAAGACTTTATACATAACCACACCCCCACATACACACATTCACCTCTATATACCATTGTGAGATACAGCGTTGTAACTAGGGGTGTAACGGTACACAAAAATCACGGTTCGGTACGTACCTCGGTTTTAAAGTCACGGTTCGGTACGTTTTCGATACAGCAAAAAGAAAGAAATGCCAGAGAAATTTCCTATTTGTTAAAAGAAAAACTATTTTTAAATAACTGAGTTTTCCTACATCTTGAAACTTTCAGGTTTATAAATGGGGGTCATCTTTGAAGGATGAACA